AGTTCTACTTAGGTCAACAGTTCCTTCAGTCTCCTCATTAGAATCACTTTTGCTAAAGATATTTGTTCTTAGGCTTTCTGTGTTCCCCACAACCCTTCCAAAATGTAGATTTTTTTCCGAATCACTCTTCTTCAATGGAGCTGCAGGCTTGGAGGGCTCTGGTACAGATAATGTCCTCCTGGTGTAAAGAATCTCTGGTGTGCTTTTGCTTTGTTGAGCCAAAGATTCAAACATGCTGATTGTATTCTTCACAGAATCTGAGGATGGTAAACGCGACTTTTCTAGAACACCATCTCCTCTCCTTCCTGCAGTTTTAACCATGAAGACATGATCTTTCTCTTCCTCTTTACGGATTTCATTGTGTGCTTCTCCTTTTGAGGCCAGTGGGTGTTTGTCTTCCCCAATTTCCTCCTTGATTCCTCCGGAAATGGTTAGCAAGTGTTTGACACACTGGCCGGAGATGCTTGAACTGTCAGGCTGGTTCCTGCGAGCATTGCATTGAGCAGTTGCTGACAGTCTACTCCTGGTCCTTTCTAAGGACTGACTACAATACTTTGGAGACCCTGTAAACCACGTTCTGCTTGTCTTGTCATTGTCATCAGGCAGAAGTGACTGAGCTTTTTTGACAGAGGACATTTCTGTACTCCATTTAGGCTTTGATGACACTGAAAAACTTAGTCCAGAGGAATTGTCCCTTTGATAATTTCTGTTCTCTCTGTTGGTAGAGGGTTCTTGCTTTGGATCAAAGTATGTTTTTGAAAACCCTCTAGGGAATGTTCCAGCTTTTTCTATATTGTAAGAAGGTTTCTCCTGTTGGCTGTCAGTACAATCTAAAGAAGCTCCAAACACATAGTCAGTAGTGTATTTTCGGTGTCTTGGAGTACAGTCCACCGTGTCCATAGATTTCGGAAAGGATTCATCAGAATTTACAGTATTGCTGCGTTTTAATCTGATTGAATCTTTTGAGTGTGCATCAGAGTTGGCATCTACTCCAAACAGTTTTGCAATTCTTTCCATTATTGTTTGATTTCCAGTTATTTCCTCTGCATTGGAAGATCCTTGCTCTCTGGCCCGGGATCCCATTCTGTTTTCTGTCTGATCAAGACTTGATTCACCTTGTTGCTGTTCCCAGAGACTGCTACCTTCTCCAATGGAACCTTGGCTAAGTCTTGGCTTCAATCTGGATGGGAGTGACTGACCACTGTTTGCCTGTTCCAGAGCAAAATTTACTTGGTTCATTCCCACAGATGGAGATCCAGAGCAATCCTTTCTGTCACTGTTCTGATTGTCTTGATTGGCTGCATTGTAATTCTGACTCCTTCGTGAAACACTACTGGGTTGATTCTCTTGCGTGTATGAAGTTATCTTGTTGTTTATCCCGGTTCTCTCTAAATCGGATTGCCTCATAAAAATTTCAAGGTCTCTAGTCCCACTAGTCATCCAAGTTCTATTCCCATGTCCTGCTCTCCAGTCTAAGCTTTTGCTTTTGTTTGACTGATAAGATCTCCTCAACACATCTCCTTTGCTCCTGTCACTTGCTGCCTTACTCTTGTCTTCTTGAGTGTTTAACTTCATAGCGCTCACATCACCTTTCTCAGAACTGATGGGAAGAATTGAGTCCTTGCTTGTATCCTTACTTAAAGTGTTACCTGTCTCTTTGCCATCAGTGTTAGTGTGGGTATCACTAGTTGAAGAAATACAAGCTTTGTTGAGGTCCTTACTAGGATCACTTTTCTGGCTTGAATCTTCAACTTTTCCACCCTCAAAAAAAAAGCTTTTTGTCCTGAGGTCCTTGGTAGTAAGTGTTTTAGCAGAGCGTATTTTGAATCTAGCAGCTGCAGAGCCAAAAGGCATCACAGATAACTGACTATGACTTTGTGCTGCTGTTCCAGGTGCATCTGCATCTTCAGTTGTGCTGCTAGCTGCGTCTGTTTCAGGAAATGGACGTACAAACGTTCCAGTATGCAAATTCATGCTTTTAAATGACGCTGAATGTCACACAGTGTATTCATTACAGTAGGAATTGAAGGCTGGTTGCTAACATTTTCAGCATCTTGTTCAAAAATGTTAATTTATTTTTGCTTGTAATGGCGGGCTATATTTTCCAACCATCATTATAAAAGCTGGAATAAACCTGTTTGTAATCCAGGGAGGAGAAGGAGACCCGCTAACTTCAGCTTGACTCTGTTGCTCTTCTGACAGGTGTTTCACGCTCTCTGGATCCAAAAAGAGATAGTAATGGGTCTCAGTACTCTCTGGTCCTTATCTTGTTCTGTCAGGTTAAGGCAATAACAACATGTGAAGGTTAGCTTTAAGCAAATTAAGTTTATTAGATTCAAATTGCCTCCTGTTTGCTACATAAATTAAAGTTCATTTGAATTGGAATGTGAAGGCATTCTCATTTTAATTGTGAATGGATCATAACCCTGCTACTATGGCCTGAACTTACAGCCTGGCCCAGACCTTTAATCACTAAGCTATACCATCTCCCACTTAACAAAGTGTGCATGCTTCATTCTAGTACCTCAGGATTTCATCATACTGAAACTCTGTATTTATTACAGTGAGAGTCCATAAATCTCTGCCGGGCATATGGCATCCATACCCTGATATGTAAACATCTACAAACTCTGGACAAACGGCTGTAAATCAGAAACAGCTTGCCAATGTTTAAAAATCAGAGAGACAGTGTGTGTATATGCATGCATTTCATTGTATGTCCACTCTGACAGCATTCTTGATGCTACTTGTCACACTCTTGAGCTATTTTACAGAACCTGATACGCAGTCAGATAACAGGTCAAACACACCAGACTACAATCCTATCTAACACCACATGTGTTACAGAGTCAGAGTCCACACATCGTTAAAGGTATGATTCATTCTAAGGGTGAATAAACAAAATATTATATATACTGTATATATATAT